CAACAACAACAACAACAAAAAACAAGACAGACATTTTAATTAGGAGTTAGGTCAGAGATCCAGACAGGAATTGAACAGAGACATCAGTTTCAGAAATAGATACGAAACAAAGCAACTCAAGGTATCTGATGGGTATCTGTCCCAGATGGAGCTGCTGCAGTAGACATTCATTCAATACTCATCAAGAACTACTGTGTGCTGCCTGGTGCTGCCAGGTGTCAGAATGAAACAAACTGTCCTTACAGAAATGTCACAGCAGTGGGAGAGATGAACAAAGGTAAACAACATGTATTATTTATACATGTATCACGCTGAGCTGCTAAGGGTAAAAGTAAAGCCAACAGAGGAATAGGAAGTGATATTTGCTTAAAAACCTAAAGTGTCTGTAATTCCAGAGTTCCTGAAACAAAGCTGTGACTACAAAGTTGTCTGATCGACTGTTAGAATGTCAATGATGTGAAGAGGTTGGAACGTTGCAAGTCCAGAGCCCAAATTATCTTGGGCCATCTCTAGACCCTTACTAGTCATTTATCCTCCAACTCTGTATGGGACCAAACATCTTTGTGAACATGAGATAAATGCTTTGGAATGTACAGACTCCTAGCTTCCACCAACCAAAAGGCTACAAATGTTGCAGAAGGCATCTGTGGCTTGGAATTGAGATTTTTCCACTTTTCTATAACCGACTACCAGATGTTTCCACCAATGTGTTGCAAAGGGACTGGAATTATGGCTTCCTTTGTTGTTACTGTAACTCATGCAGCTATTAGCACGTGGGATCGTATTTGGCTCCAGAGTAAACTCTCTCTTCTTCCCACTGTGTTTCCTGCATTGACAGCTGATAGATCAAAATTGGATTCCATACTTTTTCCAGTTCTATTCTGTCCATTCAAAACATGAGGCTCTTCATATTTCTTCTTTCAGTTAACTAAGGATGAGAAACCAGAGTCATATCGAGATTTAACACGATATGAACAACAGAGGAAAGACAGCACCAGGCAGGAAGGAGACACAGGAAGGGAAAGGAATTTCTCAGAAACCTGGTTGCTCCATAATCAGACTGTCAAATAAGGAGGAAAAAAGAAAGGAACTAAGTTAGTCTCCCCTCAGATGAGCACATGACGTGTTATTAGCACAGGCTAATTTTTGTTTCATTGCTCTTACCAAATCCCTAGTCAACCTGTAACTCAGAAAAAACAACTGAGCAAAGATCCTTTCCAGTATAGCAAGTAGTTTTTCAGAGCCTGTTCTCTATAACAAAAACAAATTCCCACCTATCCTATTAATCAATGTACTAGAATAAATGAGCCCAAACAGACTCTAAACGTTGGGAAGGAAAAAAACTAAACAAGCGAGGAGGGGTTACCCAGCTCACGAAATGCAAAACTTCTAAGTCTGAAAGTTTGTGAAACTTTCAAGACTCAACAATGCCTGTCCTGTAAGCTCTGAGCCAACAACGGCTGGGGCCAGAGGTCCAAGAGCAAATGATGGCTGATGGAGGGGAGACTGCTCAGTGGTGTAGCTGGCCTCAGGGTGAATAGAAGCCAATGATGGATCTCCCACTCTGCGATGGGCCTTTATTTTTTTTTTTTTTCAGAGTTCCACACCGTTTATTAATGCGGTTTACATCAGATCTGAACCCTGCAGTTCCCATGCATACTGTGTTTACATCTTTCAGCTGCTTCTGCAGTCTCAAGTCTGTCTGCAGAGTCTATAATTACTGAAAATAGAGTGCAGTGAAATGAGTTAAATATAATTTAGGCACATATATATTGATTATGAAAATAGGTATCTCTCAATACAATACTTCTCTGTCTTGGTAAAAATAATAATGTAGGGCTGGAGAGATGGCTCAGAGGTTAAGAGCACTGGCTGCTCTTCCAGAGGTCCTGAGTTCAATTCCCAGCAACCACATGGTGGCTCACAACCACCTGTAATGAGATCTGGTGCCTTCTTCTGGCCTGCGGTCATACATGCTGTATACATAATAAATAAATAAATCTTTAAAAAAAAAGATGTTGTATATGTATTTAAATACACTATATTTAAAAAAAATAATGCAAAGAAAATAATTCATTTTCAAAGTTGCTTTCCTCTCCCTGTAAAGGAGCACTCTCCTCCCACTGTGCATGTGAGCCCTTTACTGTGAAGGAAAGCTTTGCATATGTAGATAGAATATGCTACAGAATAATGAAGACATGCCACTCTCCTGAAGGAGACAAGGTCACCTGTGATGATTCACTACCTCAAGCTGACCAGTCTGTAGGATTTAGAACCCATTTGGACACAGCTTCTATTCCTGCTCTTAGAAAACACATAAGGACACTGGGACACCCACTAAGAAGACCCTACTGCTGTTGTTGCACAAGAAAACTGGACTAAAATTTCACTTACAAACAAGACAACAGAAAAAAAATTTTAATTAACAGCCACAGTTACCCACTGATTGATAATGCCGCTTACACTAGTCAAATGCTTAATTTTTAGTCATCAATTTTTTTGGTGGCTACAATCAAACCATCAGTTTAGAATTCCTTAGTCCCCACTGTAGGATTTTGGCTGTAATTATCTGATGTTGCTTTCTCATAGGGGACTCTGCAGGATTTATTCATACTTTATAGCTCCAACTGCAGTGGATTTAGATTGAATATCTATTTTAAGCTGGCCCTGTATAAACTACTTGGCACTACATGAACTGTGCTGAGGATACAGCTTGGTGTTTTGGTTCAGAGGTATCTTCCTATGCTTGTGATAACTGAGCACGAGAACTGGACTAGTGAATGGACAGAGCAGCCTAATCTGGTGCAGAATGGAACTCGCCCTAAGCTGAGGCATGCACAGCTGCAGCATGCACAGCTGCAGCAACTGGTGGATCCGTCCTTCTCCTGCAGAATGATTTACAAGGTCTTTCCTTCCATCCTGTCTCAAAATGTGAGGACAGAATATGACTCAAGTTTAGCTACTGTCTTTTTTTTTTCTTAAAAAGTAAACGTTACAGAAATGAATCAGAAAAGAGCCATAGGGAGTCTTTCGATGGGCCTTTCAATGACAAAGCTGCCTTTGCAGAGTTCATGTTCCTGTAAGTAATCCCTCACCCAGTCTCCTGTAATCTCACTGGTTTATCACCCCTGACTTGGGTGGGATCACTCTTCTAGTCTGTCATTGCTCTCTACATGGAATGAATAGGCATTTTTGTATCTCCAGAAAAAGTACCTCCACCAGGGCCTGGCCTCCAGTCTTGGCCTTGTGATCTCCTAACTCAGAGTAACTGGAACTTCAGGAATTCCCAAGTGCCCGGCACTGGGTGTGAGGAGGAATCTGGCCTCCACACTAAGCTGGGGCACAGCTCTGTGATACACACTTTTCACAACTTTCAATATAGTTTCATTTACAGTGACCAACTCAGAGACCATCTTCTTCCCTGAATGGGCACAGGCTTTGCATAGAGGCACGTGTCTAAGAGCCTGCCTCCCTCACTAATGTGCTGCAGCTTAGCTTCTGTGACTTCTGGAACATGGCGATGCCACTGACTTTACTCTGTATTGATGAAGGCCCTGGGTATCTCTCTACAACGGCTGCTATGATGGGTGCTGCAATAAGTTTCCCTCCCCTCTCTTTTAAAACAAGTAGATCCTGATGGCTAATTCAAACTGTATCACTAAGGGATGCCCTTTCCACCTGCTACTTCTCTAAAGTACCCCACCCCAACAGAGTTAAAAGATAGAAAAGCCCTTACAGGCAATTCCACTACATTTGAGGCACAAAGATACTCACCTAGAATCCCTAGGTTACAAACTTCTAGGAGGGCTTGCTGTTCCAAGGGCTTGCTATGGTGTGCTAGGGTACATTATGGAGAGTGGGACCAAGGGCTTCCAGGCTGTGGTGTCTGGGAAGCTCTGAGGAGAGAGCGCCAAGTCCATGAAGTCTGTGGATATCCACAGTGGTGACCCACCCTGTTAACTACTATATTTACATCGCCTGCACCATATGTTGTTCAGACAGGATGTGCTGGACATCGAAGAAAAAGATCACGCTGCCCTGGGACCCAAGTGGTAAGATCCACCATAAGAAGCCTCTGCCTGACCATGAGAGCATCCTGGAACCTAAAGATGAGATCCTGCCGACTCCACCCCACCCCATCTCAGAACAAAAGAGTGGGAAGCCAGGTGGTGCACACAGCACTCGGGAGGCAGAGACAGATGGACCTCTGTGAGTTCGAGGCTAGCCTGGACTACGAAGAGAGTTCCAGGACAGCCAGAGTTACACAGTGAAACCCTGTCTCAAAAAACAAATAAACAAAAGAACCCGGCAATGGTGGCACAGGCCTTTAATCCCAGCGCTCCAGAGGCAGAGCCAGGCAGATCTCTGTGAGTTTGAGGCCAGCCTGGTCTACAGAGCGAGATCCAGGACAGGCACCAAAACTACACAGAGAAATCCTGTCTTGAAAAACAAAAACAAAAAACAAAACAAACAACAAAAAAGAGTGGGAAGCCAGAGTCATCTGCCATGCCCCAGCCAGTGCCTATAGGGTCTTGGAAGCAGCATCTAGAGGTTGGATGTTGTCCTATAAAGGCATTTAATAAAATATTGAACAAAGACAAAAATAACAAAATTAACCACCTGAGAGACAGTGCAAGGTCGTGTTCGTGTGGAAAGGAATATGTATCAACTCTCAAATCACTATATTGAAGGCATATGAACTGAAGAGAATGTTATGTGTACCATGTGTTGAGTACCTACTACGTACTCAACTCAGCCACTAGCTAGCTAACCCTTGAAAGTAAAATCTCATTTACACTTCACTACTGCCATCTTCCTAAAGTTTTAACCGAAGAAACGGTCGCTGAATGTTTAAGACATTTGCCCAAAGTTGCACCCGCTAAGCGGCAGAGCTAGGGCTGAAAGAGTGTCTAATCTAAGAAAGCCATTCCCATGGATGTGCCAGAGTCAGTATCTTGCCCGCCCTTCCGAAAACCCAGATCTACTTTGCTAGTGCTAACCATGCCCGGGCTGGGGTGCCACGGGTCCGGGCGCTCCAGCCCTGGTCACGCATCCACACACGCCGCAGGAGCTGTGCGCACGCGACCTAGCGCGTTCAGGTGCCCTTCGCAGACCCCGACTCGCACACACGCAGACCCACGACCTCCGCGATGAGCACGCCCGGCCAGCATTCCAGCCCGGGCGCCAGAACCCAGCTTCCTTCAAAGTGGGGCGCCGCAAGGAGCCGGAAGCCATCAGGGCCCACGGCCTCCTCGCAGCGTGCTCCGCCTCGCCCGGACTAGGAGTCACTCGAATCGGATGCACCGCACCGCACGCCTCAGCTCTAGACTGGACACTGCCTTCCTCATTCTCCCTCACCAAAGAGGTGCCTACATCCCTAGTCTTTACCTAGTGGATGGAGAGACCATGGTCAATCGGCTTCATCCTCCCGCCTCGGAATTGACGTAATGCAGCAGGCTCGGTCCAATCACAACGCTTGGAGAGCACATGCGCTTTGGAGATGCGGCGCCCGCCCGGCGTATGGTTTCACCTTTGAGGTCTGAGTGAAACCATCCTGCTTAAGTCCTTTCCCTAAAGTCTTCCGGAGGGAAATTCTCAGTAATGGCTTGAGTTCCATTGGCTTTCAGAAAACAATTTACACTGCAAAGCTGGGTGTCATGGCTTATGCCTGTTATCCCAGCACTTTGGAGGTGGAGAGAGGAAGTTCAGGAATTCAAGGTCACCTTCGGGCCAGGCTGCATGAAACTTTCTCAAAAAGCAAAAATAAATACTACAGCTGTATAATAAAGAGCGATGTGATGTTGGTACAAAGATGAAGGGGGGCGGTTAACAGTTTTTTGGGTTTTTTTGTTTTTTAAAGAAAAACCTACACATAAGTAGTCACTTTTCCTTCTAACAGGTAGCCATGGTTAATACAACTAGGAACCTATTATTCTACCAGTAGTGCTAGGTCGGCCAACTGGGGACTAGGGGACTGGGGATGGAACTTTTTTCCTCGTTTTTCTTTTTTTTTTTAAATTAATTAATTTATTTTTCTATTATCAGCTTGATACAGTATAAATTCTTATCTTTTTTTTTTTTTTTTTTTGAGCTGAGGACCGAACCCAGGGCCTTGTGCTTGCTAGGCAAGTGCTCTACCACTGAGCTAAATCCCCAACCCATAAATTCTTATCTTAATAGTGAAATGTTTCATTGAGGCTTGCTCAGTAATTGAGTACAACCAAAACTTATTATAAGCCACAGTCATCCTAGGGTCCCCCCTGCTATGTAGCCTCCCTGGTTCTGTGGGTTGCAGTCTGGTTGTTCTTTGCTTTATATCGAGAATCCACTTATGAGTGAGTACGTACCATGTTTGTCCTTCTGGGTTTGGGTTACCTCACTCAGAATAATTTTTTCTAGTTCCATCCATTTGCCTGCAAATTTCATGCTGTCGTTTTTTTCTGCTGAGTAGTACTCCATTGTGTATATGTACCACATTTTCTTAATCCATTCTTCAGTTGACAGACATCTAGGTTGTTTCCAGGTTCTGGCTATTAGAAATAGTGCTGCTATGAACATAGTTGAGCATGTATGTATCTTTGTGGTATGATTGAACATTCCTTGGGTATATGCCCAAGAGTGGTATGGCTGGGTCTTAAGGTAGTTCGATTCCCAATTTTCTGAGAAACTGCCCTACTGATTTCCACAGTGGTTTCTCTGTGTAGCCCTGGGTTTCTCTGTGTAACCCTGGCAGTCCACTGTCCAGGGAACGAACTCTGTAGACCAAGCTGGCCTGGAACTCAGAGATCCACCTACCTCTGCCTCCCAAGTACTGGGATTAAAGGCATGTGCCACCATCAACCAGCTTGCTTTTTTGTGGAAACTTTCTTTTTAGACAGGCTCTTACTACGTGTGTAGCCCAGGCTGTCCTGATCCTCCTTGAACCTCCTGCCTCAACCTAATTGCAGGGTCACAAGATTCACCCCATTACATGTAGCAAGAACAGTGACTTTGACTCTTTTACCTCATGCAAAAGAATTCTAGACAAATGCTGACCTAAATGTAAAATATACAACTCTTCAAAAACAAACAAAAAAACACAACTCTAATAGCAAACTAACTTGGCCATAGAAAGGAAAAATAGTTCATGGCAGAACACAAATACTAACTCTAAAGGAAAAGGCTGATAAAAATTATCATAGCAGGAGTCTGAAGAGGCAGGCAAATCCCTGTAAGTTTGAGACTAGTATGGTCTACATAGCGCATTTCAGAACAGCCAGGGCTACAGAGACACCCTGTCTCAAGATATAATAATAATAATAATAATAATAATAATAATAATAATAATAACAATAACAATAACAATAATAATAATAATACACAATTGGAAGAAATGGCTTAGCAGTTAAGAGCACAGGCTGCTCTTCTAGAGGACCCGAGTTCAATTCCCAGCCCCTGCATGGTGGCTCATAACTGAACATCTGGAATTTCAGATGATCTGACACCTTCACACAGATATACATGCAGCAAACAAGTACACATGAAATAAAAATAAATTAATTAAAAATAATAATAATACACAATTAAGAGAGTGAAATGCAATAAGATTTGTAACATATATCTAGAAATTAATTTTATTTAGAAAGATCCAAAGCTTCCAAATAAATTTATTTTATTTTCATTGTTGTATATTCATTATAGAAGGGATAAGGTTACATAAAGATATTTTCATACAAGTTCAGAACGTGTTGTGGGTCGAGGCTCTGAATCAACCCAAGCAGGCACAAGAGGTTTTTGCAAAGCAAGAGTTAATACAGGGCAGCACAAAACAAAACAAAACAAAAAACCGATCAATCAGGGCCACAAAACAGACTCAGAAGCTGAACTATGACCCAGAATGCCAGCTAAAGCAAATATTTAACACACACACACACACACACACACACACACACACACACACACACACACACACAAAATCATGAACATCAGTGCCAAGCTACAGTTACAATTTTCCACCAATCAGAATTCAAAGATTAGAGGCTATCCCTATTTGTTCCATCTGACATTGTATGTCACCCGACATACAATGCAAGCTTTTCAGACCAGCTAATCAGACTCAGTGGTTCTTTTTGTTGTTAGGAACAGCCATCATGTTTCTAGAGAACTAACGATGTACAACAGGCTGTTTCTATTGTTTAAGGAGGAGTGGGTCAGTTATTGGAAAGTCCCTGGCTCCCCCAGGGCTTGGGAACTTGAACTTTATTTTCCCCTGCAGGTAAAATGGAGTCTGAAGTCAAAGCGGCAGTACTTATGGCAAGGTGCTTCTCCCTGTCCCCCGCAGATGTACGTAGGTCATATTCCCCTGCCTTCTTTGTCTTCCCTCTCTTCTCTCCCCATCACACTGTGTGTGTCTTTCCACAGTTATCATTCCTCATTAATCAATTATGTTTAAATTAAAATCCTTATAAGTATCCACAAAATCTGGAAATATAGCGGAATATTATTTTGTCCTTGTTTGTTTTATTGCTTTTATTTTGAGAGACAGGATCTTCCAAGTTGCCCAGGCTGGACTCAATGAGCTCAAGCCATCCTCCTGCCTCAGTCTTTTGAGTAGCTGGGAATATATATATTAAATATATAATATTATAACAATATTTATATCACCATGAGCACCTAGAAGAAATTTTATTTTTAAATATATGTAAGCTACATTTTCAAATATGTTCTGTATCTTTCCTTTTAACATAGCCACAGATGTTTATGTGAGAGCATGGCTTCTCTTCACAGTTTTGAAAACTCTATACTCCTGTTTGCTAATTCAGAATGATTCTGAATCATCCTGAAAGACTGATCCCATTTACCAAACCTTAGTGAACCCACATTTCATTCCTGCTTAGAGACTGTTCTAGAAGCAAGACAATAAATTCCAATGTACTTTGCAGCCCATTTGAATTGGATTTATCACATGCAAGTACAAGAACTTGAACTTTCCAGCCAGGATATTACACAAATAGACCCCACTGATTAGGAAAGCATCATGACCTTCTGTAGAAACAGGACAGGGGACGTTTATTTCCAAGAAGATGAACTAAATACATTTTTCCTATTTCTCCCATTGGGTATGAATCACACCCTGAACACCACCAGAAGCCTGAAACGTAGGGAAAAGATAGACCAGCTAGGACCTCAGGCCCCAAGGAATACCTTGGTGGCTTCATGTATCCCAGATGAGATACTGGAGGAATAGGCCACCTAGAGCGGCCAAGAAGCACAAAGTCCCAGGAAAAACTGTTCCTCTGGCAAAGGACCAGGAAAGCAGCAGCTTAGAAAGGAAAACAAGTGCCGGGCGGTGGTGGCGCACGCCTTTAATCCCAGCACTCGGGAGGCAGAGCCAGGCGGATCTCTGTGAGTTCGAGGCCAGCCTGGTCTCCAAAGCGAGTTCCAGGAAAGGCGCAAAGCTACACAGAGAAACCCTGTCTCGAAAAACCAAAAAAAAAAAAAAAAAAAAAAAAAAAAGAAAGGAAAACAACTTTCAGACAATGACAGTTCAACTCTTTCCAAAACCACGAAAAAAAATCCAGCCCTCCTCCATGCTTGCTCACAAGAAAGTCTAGAGTGCCACGCCACTGCCTTGTCTTCTGCTGGTACAGTCTCAGGGAAGGCTGGGACTTCCATTCCCGTGGACTGTAAGGAGACTCTTGTCCAGTGGTGTCAGTGGGCCAGTGGGGGAACCTGGGCTCCCACCCCTCCCCTTTCTCTCAGTGTGATATCAGCAGAAGCCAAGTAGAGAGTCAGGACTTCCACCACTCCTTACTGGCGACAAGACTACTTCCCGCATGTGGAAAGAGGCCGTGCAGGAAGCAATAACTAGATACTCTTTCTCCTCTCAGCCAAGAGGTGGCAGCGGAGGCTTATCGGGAGCTTAAACTTCTATTTGTACAAAATAGTAACAAAGAGTTTCTCTAGGTATCAGAGACATGGAACATATAGACTTCCACTCTTATCTGCCAACAATAGCAAAAAGGCACAAAATTCCCCTGCCGAAGTAATGTCCAACGAAGCCAGCTTAAATGCAAAATGGAAATAGGATTTAGAATTTTATGGAACTCAGAAGGCCAGGTTTCTGTCAAAAACCACTTCCTTTAGGCCAGGGATATATCCTAAAGAAGCTGAACTTAGA